ATGCCTCCCAGTGTCATTCGCCATGCCTGCCCCTCGAGTCCACTGTATGCTGGATTGCTGACCCAAAGGTAGATTCCATCCACTGGGTAATCCAAGGGAAAAAGATGAGCAGTCTCTTCTCTTAAAGATCAACAGCTCAGAAATCCAATGAAGGTCACCATGAGTCAATTGATTATGAGTGGGCTTGTTTTTTTAGTTTATTCAGCTGGATTTTTATACTTTATCTTTCCCCCCTTTTTCCTTTTTTTATTAATGATTTTTTTGCTATATATATATATATATATATATTTACAGAATATTCTTTCCATTTAATTCCCCCCCTTTATTCATTGTTGCACATTTTCCTCCTTGCTCACCCCTCCCTCCCAGTTTGTTTTTCACTTTGAGGAAAAAAAATCTTTCATTATTATACAATTCACTCAACCCCCAAGTCCACTCTCCACTTTCATATCCATTTCTTTCTCTGTAATCTTGTCATGAAAAGAATACCTAGTCCTATATTCCTTTTAAACAGTTTTCTCTCTTATCTGTCTCAATGCAGTGTACATTATTTATCCCCTTTTTTCCTTAGGTTCCCCCCAAACCTGATGTCAGTCTCATTTTACAACAGTGACACTATGCAATATTTGTCTTATTGTGACTGAGATATTTCACTCAGCATAATGCCCTCTAGGGTTACCCATTATGTATAATATTTCATGAGTTCTTTGTTTTTCAGTGCAGCATAGTATTCCATTGTGCAAATATACCACAGCTTCTCTAGCCATTAATTTGTTGATGGACACTCGGGTTGTTTCCAACTCCTTGCTGTTGTGAACAAAGCTGCAATAAACATAGGTGTGCATTACACACTATTTTTTATTATGCTGTATTTTTTTAAAAGCACCCCCTAACTTGTTTGTTACGAAAAAAATTCAAACACATGCTAGAGAAAGCTTAAAAGCATAAAGTCTCCTTATACTTAATATTCAGATTCAGCAACTGGCTTGTAGCCAGTCATCTTGTTTCATCTGCCCCCCACTTCTCCCTAATTTTCTACCCATTTATCCCCTCTTCTGCTATCTGGAATCAAGTCTCAGTATATCATTTCTTCTGTAAAAACACATGTAGTTCTAAAGCAGGGGCTGGTAGCATTTCTCTGTGAAGGATTAGACAGTGAATCCTTTCAGCTTTGTTGAGCATATGGTCTAAGATGCAACTTTCCAACTCTACCATTGTAGGACCAAAAGAGCCATGGACTCAACATACATGAAGGCATGTGGAGGTGTTCCAATAAAACTTTATTTATGCACATGAAAATGCTAATTTCACTTATGAAAGTTTTGTAGATAAAAAAAATTTTCTTTTGATTCTTCCAACAATTTCAAAATGTGCAAAAACATTTCAGACTTGTGAATCACAGCGTCGTGTTGCTAACTTGGTTCGTGGGTTGTATTTTGCTGACTCCTCTAAAAGATAAAGACTTCCTTCAAAATACAGCCACAGTTCCATTATGAAACTTCAAAATGTGAGCGATAATCCCTTAAAATCCTTATATCATCAATGAGGGTACTAACTTTCCCAGTCAGAGGTAACTCATGGTTGCTGTGATACTAAACACTGTGACACTGATGTGCCTAATGCGATAATGGTTACCCATGGTGGACGGTGTTTGGTGGAGCTCTCAGATTAAAACAGGCTTGGAAGCAGGAATGGCATCCACTTCCAGGATAGCTTGCCTCTGGAAACTCTATGAACTTAGAGAAACGATGAAAGTTACACGAGTGTTCAGATCTTTTGTTCATAGAGTCGCTGTGAGTCATTTATGACTTGATGGCACCAAACAACAACAACTTCCAAAATATCTCTGGAATCTAACCATTTCTCACCACCATTGATGATCTGAGGCCAAGTTAATGCCCTCTCTTACCTAGACTGGTCTCTTTGCTTCTGCCATGCCCATTTTAAAGATATTGCGAACACAGCCACCAATGTTATTAAGAATCAGAATGTGATACTCTTTTGTTAAAAATCCTGATAGGGACTCTGCCTTCCCTCCAAGGAAAATGAAGATCTTTACAACGACCTCAAAGGTCCCTCTGTCTGCCCCCATACCTCTCCCATGTCTTCTGTTCTTATTACACTTACATTGTTCATATGTGTTGTTGTTGTTATGCACAGTCGAATTGTCTGTGACTCATAGCAAACCTGTATACTATAGTTCTGAAGTCTGTTCTGTTTTGAGCCAGTCTCACTGACTCCAACATGCCTACTCCCATTGCCCCATTTACTGTATCAATCCATCTCATCCGAGGTCTTCCTCTCCTGCGCTGTTCCTTTACCGTTCCAAGCATGATGTTCTTCTCCAATGATCAGTCCCTGTTGGCTACACGGCCAAAGTGTGTGAGACAGAGCTTCAAAATCCTAGCCTCCAAGGAGAAACTTGATTTCGCCCTCTCCAAGACAGGCTTATTTTCCTTGGTGGTCCATGGTATGTTCAAGACTCTTTTCCAGCACCAAAACACAAAGACATCAATTCTTATTCTATCCTCCTTAGTCATTATCCAGCTCTCTGAAGCATAGCAAGTAATTGCAAAGACCATGGACTGAATCAGGAGTGCTTTAGTCTCTAGAGTGACATCATTGCTTCTCAAGTACTCTGGATAGGCCCCTGACAACAGATTTTCCCAGTGCAATTTGTCTTTTGATTTCCTGACTGCTGGTGTTAAGAGGGCTGATGTGGAGCTGAGTAAGTTGTAATTGTTAACAACCTCAATTTTTTCTCCATCTGTCATGGTGCTGTCAATTGGCCTGGTGATGAGACTCTTTGTCTTCTTGATGTTGAACTTCAATCCATATTGAAGACCACAGTCCTTGACCTTCTGTAGCAAGTGCTTTAGGTCTTCAGTTTCAGCAAGCAAGACTGTGTCATCTGCTCATAAAGGATAAAGGATAAGTGTTGGTTCTTTCTTCTGCCTAGTTGTCTTGGCTTAGTGAAAGAATCTGAGAAAGACTTCTTTGAGGAAGTGACTTCTAATCTGGGTTTTACAATGAATGAGTGGATATTATCCAGGTAAACAGGAAGGAGAAGAGACCACCAGGAATAATGTCTAAGAGACTTTTCAATGGAAAGTACTGTGTGGCATATCAGTTTCACCTCGGGAAGTGCTGGGCAAAGAAGCAAGTGAGAAAGCTATTGAGAAAATGTTAGATTTCATCTTAAAGATAGTGAGAAGAAAAGTGATGTGAGTAGATAGAAATTTTGAAAACATCATTCAAGTTCTCTGGTAATAAACTGAGCTTATTTTATAATGGGCACTGTTCAAAGTTATTTACTTATATTAACTTGACTTATTTTCATGGCCTACGATGCAACTAACTTGTAACTGACGCTCCAGTGGGTTTTGGAGGCTATGAATCACACAAGAGGAGATTGCCTATCTTTCTTCTATAGAGCAGTTGTTAAATTAGAATTGTCAGCCTTTGGGTTGACAGCACAACTCCGTACCCACTAGGCCACCAAAACTCCCCTCTGGAACATAAAATATATTTATAATTATTATTGCGTACTATAGGGTTGGAATCGACCTATAGCTGACCTTCTGGTGGGTTTTCAGAGGCAGTTAATTGCATGGGTGAAGACTTCCCATTCTTCTCCCACGGAGCAGCTGGTGGCCTCAAACCGTGTGCCTTCAGGATTGCAGCACAACTTCTTGCCACTAGGCCACCAGAGCTGCCAGAAGCCATCCTTATTTGCTAATTCAACCATCTGTGTAATTTCTGAGTTTCGTTTCTGTTTTGATTTTCCTCCTGGTAATGGATTGTGTTTTCTTGCTTCTTTATTTGCTTGGTGATTTTTGATGGGACTGGACATTTTGGATTTCACATGCTGATGGCCTGGATTATTCTTCCATTAAATGCTGTTTAGGTTTGTTCTAGGATATAAGTAAATTACTTGGAATCAGTTTGACTCTTTCAAGGCTGTGAGGCTTTGTAAGGAAAGGTCCAGAGCAACATGTGACTAACTTGCTAGTGAGAGAATATTCTTTTGAGGATTCTCTGTGTGTTAGGAGATCTCCCCATTTCAACTCTTTCCCACTCCTTGGATTCTTTGACTAAGCCAAGACAACCAGCCAAAAGGAAAAACGAATACTTTTCCCTTACACCACCAAGCACAATGAAGATACATAAATGCATCTAGCTGTTTCCATTAATTTATTTAAATATTACATATTTACTATGCACCACTATAAAAAATAATTGTTCTGTGGTTCTTTCTCAGGCTCAGGTGTGGTTTTGTTCACACATGGACAGATCAGTATTCAGCCAAAGCCTTGAAGGAACCTTCCGCCAGTCTCTAGAACTCTGTCCATGCAGCTGCCACCTCTCCTATGCTCTTCTCTGCGACTTCTTTGAATTCCCAGATCTGTCTCTCTACTCAGCAAGACTTCTAGTTTCTCCTTGAGTTTCCTCCATTGTGTTGGGGCCTGGACACCCCAGGCAGTAAGCTAGAAGAGTTGTAGGATTATTTTTTTCTCTTTTTGTGAGATCTCAGCCTTGTGCTGCTTTTTGTCCAATGACTCTGTGTGTGTGTGTGTATATCTATAAAGTTTCAATTTGCATCTTCCCCCCATTGGCTTATTTATCATCTTTTTATCACATTCTGAGATTTCTTTTTCTGTTCTGATACAAGTCCCTTGCTAGATATAACAGAATCTCTGCTTTTAACCACTTTGTTTTACTGGATTGAGGGGAATTGGGTGGAGAAGGGAATTCACACAGATCATTGGAGTCACCTAGAAGAGAGATGATGGTCTATTAGATGAGGATAGGGGTGTAGATGGGACAAAATAGAGGGACTTAAAAAAAAATCTTAAGCAAACCAAACAAAGCATTTAAAAAAAAATCCCTTAGGGGATTCTGAGTTGTTTTGTCTTTCTTTTGTCTTTTGAATGTTCTTAAGTAGTTTAAAAAAAATACAAAATGGAATAATTTCTCTGCTTGTATAAAGCACAGAAAAAATGTCCCTGGGATTGAAGATACATCCCCTGTTCTTGATCCTTTTTCTGAGTCATGCTGTGGTGAGCTGGAGAGTTCCAAATTCCCAGCAGGGTAAGTTTTGTTGTGGTGTTTTGTTTATTTTTTGGTGTTTTTTTTTCTTCCCAGTTTAAGGTTACTTTTATTAGTATTATTGATGTAGTATTTTATTATTTTTGATTGTGGTTTTAATGAACGTTTACAGAAAGAGTGGGTTTACATTCATTCATTGAGCAGAGTAAGTTTAAGTACAGAATCCTCTTACTTGGTTCTTATAAATTATAGAATAAAGTATACTTGGTATAGAAAGATTAAACTCCTTGATTCTTTATTTTGTGGAGTGCGTGTGTGTGATAAATTTTTAGAGTTATTCTTAAAAGAGATTTTGAGGTGAGCTCTGGTGGCATAGTGGCAAGAAGCTGCACTGTAATCCCAGAGATGCATGGTTCAAATCCACCAGATGCTCTGCTGGAGAGGGAGGGACAATCTCCTCCTGTTACCAGTCAGATCTGATTTGACAGCGTGCGCACACACACACACACACACACACACACACACACACACAATAATAATAAATGAAAATAATTTTTTTTTTAAAAAGAGATTTTGAAACCATTCAAATGAGTGCATGTGGACACAGGTAGAGTTAAAGTACCACAAAACAATTTCTTTTCCTGGGCTCTTCCCCTAATTCACTTTTTGTGTTTTTGAAGGTCACCTAATTCAATTCTAGTTATATATTATAAATGGTTTTCTTACAGATTTGCATCCATTGTTGCAAAAAATGGCAGTAAGTATTCCATTTTCTTTTAATCAAAATCCTTTCTGCTGGAACGTGCCTGCTTTTGGATGTTAGAGTTGACGTTATCTCTTTGCCCTTTAGGAAGAAATAATAGAGGGAAGCTATCTGAATGGTAATGCACCGACTCACTCCCCACTTGCTGCCTCCCAGAATTTCAAATAGAATACGACTATGATCTGTCTGGAATGATTGCTTTTTAAGTTGTCTTTCATTTTATTCCCATTGCAGCGTTACTGGATCTCATACAGTTTCAAAGGTAACTCATCTGGGAGGGAAACGAAGACATAGGGTAGATTTTTTTAAAGTAAAATTTCTTAATGGAGGCTTCTTGATTGTAAAAAGCAATATACACTTATTGTAAGAAAACCCCCGACACCAAAAACCCCTGTCAGTTTCTCAAGTGTTCCAAAGCAGACACATTGTTCCAGTCATTTCTTCTTCTTGGATTCTAACACAAGAATGAAGATTTTTCAAGTCCATGCTATGTCGAGCAGGCCTGTTCTCAATGCTCTACCCCTATAAACTCATCTGATCCTCATACATATGCATGGAGCACCTCATGGTACAGAATAAGGAACTGAGATGCACGGGCAAATTGGTGTTCAAGACCACAAAGCTAAGAAGCAGTGGCTCCAGTGTCCATTCTCTTCTCTGCCATTCTGTACCCTGCATCCTGTACACGGCCTGTGTTAGCTCCTGGGGACATGAGAAGGGAGAGACAGAGGGTTGTAGGAAGACAGATACTGATGAATAAGTCAAATGTGGATTCTATGAAGGAGAAGAGATGAGGACCATGAGTCTGAATGATAAGGTTACCTCATTATGTTAAGATAAAGACCACTATAGATATTCTTTTTCCTCAAATAACTCTGATTGATAGTTTTGGGTATGTATTTTTTCTTTATTTAAATTTATTATTAATTTCAGTCAAAATTTACAGAGACTTTGGGTTTCCATTCATTCATTGTTGCACCTTTCTCCCTTCCCAACCCTCCCCCCTAGTACATTACCCTCTTGGAAACGTAAAAGACAAATTCTTTCATTGTTTTACAAACCCTTCCTCAGGTCTACTTCACCATGTAGCCTTTGCTCTAGACTCCTGTCATGACAGAAATCCCTAATCACATATCCCTTTTAAAGAGTTTTCTCCCTCATCTGTTTCAATGCAGTATACATTATTGAACCCATCTTTCTCAGTCTCCCCTCAACCCCAAGGTCAGTCCTGTTTAACAACAGTGGCACCATGTAGTATTTGTCCTTTTGTGACTGAGATACTTCACTCGGCATAATGTCCCTCAGGGTCACCCATTTTGAATAATATTGCATGAGTTCCTTGTTTTTCAATGCATCATAGTATTCCATTGTGTGAATATACCACAGCTTCTCTATCCATTCGTTTGTTGATGGGGGTATATATATATATTTTGGCATATTCTTCCAGGTTAAATTTTTCATTCATGCATTGACTTTCACCCAACAAAAATGATGTTATAAAAAGCATTAATAAATATACTTCGCTGGCAGAAGAAATACCATAATCAAGAAGATGATTTTCCCAGGGTGGGGCTTACCCATCACACTCTGGATATGCTGATCCCTGTGGTTTCCACAAATGGGGAAAACTTGACTGCATAATTTGTGGAGTGGGGGACTGTGTGTGTGCTATCCCACTTTAAAAAAAAACACCCTAATTTATGTACAGTGTGCCAGGCAGTATTCTAAGTACTTTACATGTGTGCATTAATTTAATTTTCATGATTATTTAATGTGTTTCCATATGTGGATATATTATCCATAGGGAGCTCTGGTGCTGGCTTAGTGATATGGATACCAAAGAAATGTGGTTCAAATCCACTAGCTGCTCCATGGGAGAAGGATGGACAGTCTTCCCCTGTGCAATTAACTACCTCTGAAAATCTGCTTGAGAGTCAGCTATCAGTTAACAACACTAACATCTGTATTTCATAGAAGGGGAACTGAAGCACAGAGAAATTAAGCAAATACGCCCAATGCCATACAACAAAGTAATAGAGCCACTCATGGTAGTTGTAGCATCTGCTTTTTAACTTGAGAGAGAGAGAGAGAGAGAGAGAGAGAGAGAGAGAGAGAGAAAGGGGGGGGAGAGAGAGAGAGAGAGAGGAAGAGAGAGAGAGGGATTAGGGGAATTAGACTATTTCAGACAGCTCCAAAATTGATCTTCTTCTTTGAGAGAATGGAATCCAGACAGAGTCCTAGGATTAGAGACTTCTCATCATGGTGCCAGATTCACTAATCTCCTGCTTTGAGGCACCAAGCTCCTAGCATCTCACACCTCTCTGGGGTACTCTGAGCACTCAGCTAGTACAGTTCTGCTCATAGGGAACCTCTCAGCTTCATCTTCTCCTGTTTGTCTTTGACTGAAGCTCTCACGTGTGGACAGCAGACCTGTCCCACAAAGTCCTGGACTATCTGAATTCTCGGAATGTTGCCTTCACGAAGGCCAGCCTAAAGGTGAGTACTTGAACTCCATTGGTATGTTCTCCTCTCTGTGCACAGGGTCTACACACTTAAGGACTGGGTAATTCGGAGAAGTGACTGGGGTAGGAATATACCTTACTCCCAAACTGACAGCGTCTTCTTCTGGGAAACATAGAGGGTCAGTAAAAGACAGAAAGACCCTCAAGGAGATAGACTGACACAGTGACTGCAACAGTGGACTTGGGCATGGTGGGGACAATGATGGTGCAGCATAGGGCAAGGTTCTGACTGTTGTTCACAGGATCGCTGTGAGTCACGTCTAGACATTGGTGACTCAGTGGAGAACAAGGTAGTCATGATTACCACTCCAGGAACTAGGTTAACTCCAGTGGAGAGATGTTGTTGTTGTTGTTATGTGCCATCAAGTTGCTTGCAACTCATAGTGACCCTATGTACAACAGCCCTAAACTCTGCTCTGTCCTGTGCCAATAACACTGTCTCTGACACTCCCATCCCAGTTACCCCAGTCACCGAATCAATCCACCTCATAGAGGGCCTTCCCCTCCTGCGCTGTCCCTCCACCCTCCCCAGCATGATGTCCTTCTCCAAGGACTGGTCTCTCCTCACAACATGCCCAAAGTATGTTAGACGGAGCCTCAGAATCCTTGCCTCCAAAGAGCCACCCTGTTTAACCCTTTCCAGGATGAATCTGTTTGTTTTCCTAGCAGTTCATGGTACTCTCAATACTCTTAAGTAAGTGAATATTCAGCCCATATGTGATAGAGAATAATGATTGACACTTATTATGTGACACACACTACAGTAAATACCCTACACTTTTTTCCCTATTTTTAATTTTTAACTGAGATTTTAATGAAAGATTTTTATAGAGAACTTGGATTTCCATTCATTTATTGTTGCACATTTCCCAACCTGCCCCTCTTCTTCCCATTTTATTTTTCTCTTTGAAAAGAAAAAAAATTCTTTCATTAGTATACACTTCCTGACCTCCTTCCCTCAGTCCACTTTACTATGCAGCTCTTATTCTGGACTTTTGTCACGCAAACAATACCTAATCATGTATTCCTTTTAAACAGTTCTCTCCCTCATCTGTTTCAATGCAGTGCACATTATTTGTCCCCTCTTTTGTTAGTTTTCCCCCAATCCCAGTGTCAGTCTCATTTTGTAACAGTGGCATTATGCAGTATTTGCCCTTTTGTGACAGATATATTTCACTCAGCATAATGTCCTCCAGGGTCACCCATTTTGTATAATAGTTCATGAGTTCCTTCATTTTCAAATCTGCGTAGTATTCCATTGTGTGAATATACCACAGTATCTCTATCCATTTGTTTGTTGATGGGAACTTGGGTTGTTTCTAACTCTTGCTATTGTGAACAAAGCCATAATAAACATGGGTATGCGTATGTCTGCTGGTGTGGCCCTACACTTTTCCTTTCCTCTCCTAAGAACCCTCCATGAAAGGTCATATTATAATCTCTGATTTTAAGCTCAGAATAGAGATTTTAAGCTGAGAATAGGCTCAGGGGTATAGTTGCACATTTATTGAATGAAAACACACAATATCCTGTTAAATTTAATTGTAGATAAGCAAGGGGTAATTTCTTTTTAGAGTAAATATATACCATGAACCAGTAGGAGAACAAATAGGTTTATCCTGGAGAGGGTGAAACCAGGTTGCTCCTTGGAGGCAAGGATTCTGAAGCTTCATCTGACATACTTTGGGCATGTTGCAAGGAGGAACTAGTCCTTGGAGAGAGACGTCATGCTTGGGAGGGTGGAGCAACAGTGCAAGAAAGGAAGACCCTTGATGAGATGAATTGATTCAGAGACTGGGGTAATGGGGATAGGGGTGTCAGAGATGATAAGGTTGACACAGGATAGAGCAGGTTTCAGAACTGTTGTACAAGGGTCACTATGAGTCACAAGCAACTCATAACACATAACAAAAACAACATAACCCATGCAATGTTTTAGACAGGCTTATGCTAAAAAAATGTATATCTGAAATTCAAACTTAACTGGGCATCCTGTGTTTTATCTAGCAACCCTGGTTAAGTAACCTGTCCGTATACATACAGCTAGAAATGACAAGGCAGGGATTTGTACATGGTAAGCTGGTTCTGGGAGAAATTTCTGTCTATCTACTTCCAAAAATACAGTCCATGAGAACCCTGTGGATGCCAGTAGTCTGGTCCCATTGTGTACCAGGGTGGTCGCTATGAGTTGGGGGCCAACTTGATAGCAGGAAACAAAAAGAAATCTGGTTTTAGAGACCAGGTCCTGCCAATGATACCACACTGTGCTGCCTTCCTAGAACACTTTGCTTTAAGGGAGATTTAGGAAAGGATACCCTAGGTGCTAAAGATCTCATATGGAAGAATCTGATGTCCTTTGCTTCTCATTCTGCAGAGGGCAGTACAGGGAATGTGGCTGACATTTAATTTTACTCCTGCATCTGGTAGCTAAGTGCATGAGAAGAGTTTGAGGAAGCTCCCACCTAGGGGACTGAACTTATGGGAAGATGCCAGCCTCTCTGGACTTGGATATTCAATCACCTACAGGCCCGACAGACCTTTAATGGGGAAAGCAGGCTGGGTGGCTGGTGGTGGGCTAGGACATTATTCTAGTGGACCACTGCCCAATGGCCTCTCTGATTATCACCAGGTGTGGGGAGGGGGCGGAGTTAGACTCTCAGAATTGTCAAATCTTTGCATTTTCCAAGAGGAATTGGAAATCAGGTTCTGGTGTGTAATTTCCTGACTTTTTACCTATAGGGAGCCAAAGAGCCACTCTGGCTGGAGCTGGCCAGATGAGCACGCACAGTCCCTGCTTGTAAAGGAGATTCACCGCCTGGGCTGCTGGCTGTGGTGCTGACCGTGGTGCTGATCTGGAGCTCCAGCCATCCTGTCCTGACCCATTCTCCCAATCCCACACATCCAGGCAGCTATGGAAAACCAGCTGGAGCAGCATTTACACGAGCCCCAGAAGCTGCTGGAGGACCTGAGAGGAACAGATGCACAGCAGTTCCACACGGCCATGAAATGCCTCTTAGGAGACAAGAAGGACCGCTTGGTGAGGTGGTTTTTCCTCATCCTTGGAGTTGAGAAGTCCAGGGCTGGCAATTATTAGTCAAATTGAATGAGTCTAACTCAGACATTAGCCCTCTCCTATCTCTCTTTCCATCCTCCTCCCAGAACTCCTGAGAATCTTTGAATTCTTGTTCCTCACTTTGACTCCACAATTCATTGCTGTCAAGTCAGAACTGACTCATAGCTGAATCTCCAGTGATTGAACGTGAGCTTATCCAGCAATCTCCCTTGCAACAGCTGGTGGATCCAAACCTTATGCCTCTGGGTTGGCAGCACAACTCTTTACCCACGAAGCCACTTCACTTACTTTCTCTAAAGCTCAAATGAAGAGTCTTAAAAATTTACATTCTTATGGGAGAACTGAGAACTTCAGGAATTTGGTTCCTTAAACATCCCTGAATAATGACTTCATACCAGTATGCACTGAACTCAGAGATGAAAGACTGGAGGAGCTTATGGTCTGGAGGGGAGATAGGAAACAGAAGCGGAGCAGCTTTGCTAAATGAAGTCAGCGTCATGAAAGCAAGGCCTCTGGGACTGGGGCATGAGGGCTGGGAATCTGGAAATGAGGTTTAATGTTCTTTTTTTGGTTGGAGACCAGTTAGCATGAACTAAAAGCTCTGCTGATTTAGGGGGAAGGGGTTGTGCTGCCAACCCAAAGGTATGTGGTTCAAATCCACCAAATATTATGCAAGAGAAAGATGGGCAGTCTTTTCCTGTGCAGTTTACCACCTCTGCAAACCTACTGGAGGGTCAGTTATGAGTCAGTTCTGACTCAACAGTACATAACAAGTGCTTTCCAAAAACAGGAGAGGCATCTGATCATTATTTGTTTATTAAACTCTAACAAACATGTCAAACCTGTGATTTTAATAGGGATGTAATATTTTCCAGTGAAGTGAGTTTAAGTTAAAAAGGAGTTCATGAAGAAAAAAAAATATGACATTAATAATAGTAAAGGCAGTGCAAAGACATGACTAAGGTGGAGATCATTCCAGATATATCAGGTGCTAACTACAAAGTTTTAATCCAGGGAGTAGTAAGCAAACTTTCTGTAAAAGACTAACTTCATTGCTGTCAAGTTGATTCCTACCTACAAAGCACCCCATCTGTTTCCAAAGCTGTAATCTTTGTGGAAGCAGAGTTCCATGTTTTTCTCCTGTGCAGCAGCTGTAGTTAAAACTGCCAATCTTAAGTACAACTATCTTTATTCACAGATGACATGCTCTTATTATGCAGAAAATTCTAAACAATCCACAAAAATCTGTTAGTCAAAACATGTAGAGTGACTACTTACCAGAATGAGACTGTTTTGGGGAAGTGAGGACCATGTTTGGAATTACATGAGAACAATGGTTACCACCTTGAGCCAATCCCACCTGAACTCATGCTTAGCCTGAGGTTGGAGGAGATCAGGGAAGTTTTCACCAAGGAGGTACTGCCTGAGTTGGCCAGAAAGGATGAGATGGATTTTACTTGACATAGTAAAGTGCTTGACTATAACGGAAAGGTGGGTGGCTTGAACTCACTGGGAGGTGCTGTAGAAGAAAGCTCTGGTGATTTGCTTCTGGAAGGTCATGGTCATTCAAAACCCTATGGAACACAGCTCTACTCTGACACATGGGCTTACTATTATTATTTTTTTTAAATTTTCATTATGATTGTAACAAAAGTTTACAAAAAAGTTGGGTTTTCATTTATTTCTTGTTGCACCTTTTCCTCCCTCCCTTTCTTTTCCCTTTCTCCCAGGCACTTTGCAATGTACTTCTTGTACCAGGTTGTTGACATACATTTAATGCCTAATCATATATTCTTTGCAGATAGTCCTTCCCCTCATCTGTTCCAATGCAGTGTTCATTATCTATCCACTCTTTTCCTAGGCTCCCTCTCCACGTCTATTATTCTTTTTTATAACATCAATGTTATGCAGTAATTGTCCTTTTGTGACTGAGATATTTCACTCAGCATAGTGTCTTCCACGCTCATCTACATTGTTTAAGGTCTTACAAGTTTATGATTTTTCAGTGCTCTGTAATATTCCACTGTGTGAATGTACCACAGTTTTTCTATCCATTCATTTGTTGATGAGCATGGAGTTGCTATTAGGCAGAATTGACTCATAGCAAATGGTTTTGGAATTTTGTGTTATGAGCTTCTCTAGGAGAAGGAGATGGGATGTGTGTTTCAGTTAGAGCAGAGGCCTGATGTACAGGGTGACAGTCATGATGTGTCTGGACAGTGAGAACTTACCTTGTCTGAGTGGAGCAGGTGAAGGCTTCGACTTTGTCCTGTAGTTAACAGAGTTCTAGAAGGTGTGACATGATGTTAAATCAACCTACTTGAATCAGATCAAGACCAACCTGTTGTATTAGGACCTATTCTAACTTAGTGACTTTACAGTGTTAAAAAGCTGTTCTGAACAGCTCCACTGCTTTAGAACTTCGGTGGCCTCATAGTAAAGAATTGAGCTGTCAATGTAAAGGCATGCGGTTTGAATCCACCAGTTGTTTGTTCCATGGGAGAAAGATTGTCCAGTCTTCTTCTGTGTGATTGACAGCCTCTCAAGATCACCTGAAGGGTCGGCTATGACTCAGCTGTGACTGAAGGATGTACAGCAAGAAGTTCCTGGCATGGGCAACATTATAAATATTCCCACTGCTGCAAACGGTGGGCCCTTCGAGGATTTCCAAAGTCACCAACCCCTGGTATCTCTGAAATGTTTAGGAGCTGGAGGACGTCATCATTGACTTGGGAGAGCTCCGAGAACGAGCCCTTCAGAGCCCTGGCGTGAACCGCAGCCTGTTCCTCGTCACTTTGGAGAGGTGTTTCCAGGTGCTGAACTCCCTGGAGTGTGTGCAGATCCTGGGCAGGGTGCTCAAGGGCTCCTCAGGCAGCATGCTGCAGCCGGACGTCACAGAGAGGCTCCCCCAGGACCTGCGGGAGGATGCCTTTAAGAACCTGTGAGTCTCAAGGATAAATATTGTAGAAAACCATTATTGTAGAATGAGTATAAGGATCCAAGAGGGGTGGGAGTGGCTGGAAGCAGAGGGATGACGATGTGCAGGGGGCGGGGTATTAATTATGAGGTTGTACAATTTGATGGAGAGGTGAGGGAAGCTGAAAGAGTTTGTTCTTAAAAACAGTGTGTTAGAATTTTGTTAATAAACTAGTTGTTGTTATGTGCTGTCGAGTCTCCTGTGACTCATAGCGACCCTATGTACAGCAGCCCTATTGTCAACCTGATGCTTAGTTCAGGAAGGAAGTGTTTCACACATATTAACACTCCCTCTGCAGGGGGACCCTAGCTGTCTCTTTTCTGCGGGAAACAGCTCATTTCCTGTGATCTGTCACAAGAGAAATTCCAACTTTTAATTTTGTGATTCCTTCAATTCCTGAGTAAACATATGGTTAATCATATAATATTTGGTATGAAATTTGGCTTCCCACACTTCACAGATGTGGACACTGAGGCCCAGAATTGTAACAGCATTCCTGAGGTGACTCCATGGTTCTTGACATAATTTCACCTCAGCTTAGATGTCCAGAATCTCCGGCCCAGCCTCTTCACATTCTACCTCGTCATACCTCCCCCTTTTTCTTCTTTTATGCTCCTTCTTGTAAGAATTAGCCCATTGATCCCCTGCCTAGTCCCCAGATGAGATAATTGATACATAGAGAGTTGAAATATTTTGCCCTAAAACAACTATGAGATATCATTTCACCCCAGTCAAAATAGCAAAATTTAACAGAACAGCAAGCAACAAATGCTGGCGAGGTTGTGGAGAAACTGGAACC